GTTGAAATAGAGTTCAGTAGTAAAATTGCAACTGTCTGAATTATTGACAAGGGTGACTACTAATAAACCAAGTTCCTTTTACCCATCTGCTTCCTAGGTTTTATTGTAATTCAAAATACTTTTAAAAGATAAATCACTTTTGCATACATTAATACGTTTGCTAGCCTAGGTAAACGTATGTTGAACTCAAAAATGCTCATTTCATCTCATCACATTTAGCCAAATCTTAGTGATGGAACGAACATTGGCAGGGCTGTGGATGGGGAGAGCAGGAATATATACATGTATTACTGTTTGCATCTAACTAGGAAATAATAATACCTTACATTTGTTTATTACTTCATACATTACAAACAGAATTAACCTACACTATTTTATACTCTTAAATAAATATCTGAGGTAGGCAGAGTAGGACATTTTCCCTTTTTACTATTGAAGAAACCTTAAATCCTATTGTTAGGACTGGAGAGCCAGCATGGGAGCTCAGATTTCCTGTTGCCCAATGCCTGTGTTCTCCACTCTGCCACTGTCCCTCTCAGAACCCCAAATATGGACATGATTTAGCCAATATTCTCAAAATGAAGAATTCTGCTCCATCCCATTGTCAATCCTCTTATTTGCATCACAACACCCATCTAAAATGAAAATTAAGTTCAGAAAACTCAAATAAGCCTACCAACAAAACCATTTCTTTTCTTTTTTAAAAAATTTTACTTTAAGTTCTGGGATACATGTGCTGAACGTGCAGGTTTGTTACATAGGTATACATGTGCTATGGTGGTTTGCTGCACCTGTCAACCTGTCATCTAGGTCCAACAAAACCATTTCTAAATGTCCATTATCCTCCCTTAAGTGATCTTTGTGAGTGCCAATGTTTTATTTATTTGATCTAAAAGGTTATCTAGTTTCCCCAAGATGACCTCCTGTCTCAGGTCTTGACTAAACTTCTTTAGCTTTTTTGTAACCCAGAGCATGCCTGCATGTGCACACACACACAGATGTGTGTGTATAAAAAGTTTCACCAGAAACCCCTCAAAATCAATACTTGCCACCCACAGTGCACTCTGTTTTTCTTTATGCTACTTCATGATTTGAACCATGCTGATTAGCAGTCCATTAGATTGAATTTATGAGCAGTTTATGCATCATGACCTACAGTCTGAAATACTGGTTTAGCATTTAATTATTTTAAATAAAAAAGCATGGGTTTGGAAATCAGATAGATCTGAGTTTGAATTTTTTGCTCTTCCTCTTATAAGTTATAATGATCTTTGAGGCAAATCACTTGACTTCTGAGAATTTTAGTGTCATCATCTGTAAAATATAATAAAATATGCTGTAATATAATATATGTAAAATGTAATAGTGATTCTTACATCATTAACATTTCTTATTCTTTCATTCATCAAATATTTCTCAGCACTCATAACCTCTTCATTTTTCTTGATTTTAGTAAGATTCCGAAGACCAATTTTTACAGTTTTTTCTTCTCTCAGGCTAATTCACTACCATATTCAGTGTCATTCCCTATATTTTAGGGATTGTATTATTTAAAAAAAAAAAAAAAAAGCCCTTGATAGGGCTAGACAGAGAGCAAAGATCAGTGGCCAAAAAGGGACTTACTATCCAGAGGCGCTAGACGGGACCCCACTATGGATGAAGTAGAGATCACGAAGCAGACTATATAGAGTGACATCTTCAAAGCGTTCTTATTCTTTCACTGTGAAATAACCAATAACCTGAACAGCCAAATTCCAAATCTCATTGTAAATATTTTTAAATTAATGAAGGCTTAGTAAATACCACATTAAATTATCATTTGGGAATTTAAAAGAAACCGTTGAAGACCTGAGAGTAACTAATAAAACAAATATCTTCTTGTATCACCTATAGTTTGATTTACTTTGTTAAATCAGGAACCTGTGGAGACCAGCCAAGGACACAGTCAGTTCAGTTAAACTGTGTCTGACAAAGTTGGTGCATCATGTACTTTGCTTTTCCTGATCTTCATAAAAAACTAAATACATCCTTAACCCCACCACAGTGAATAAGTACCCTTGGTTTAGAGAAGCTACTGTGGAAGAGATGGGAAAAGTGCAGATAAAAGATATATGGGTGTTAAGGAGTGAGAATGGATAGAGAACATGTAAATGTGTCATTTTCATTTTTAATTTGATTTTTTTCTTCATTGTATAGATTATTTCTTTTGCCATTGTCATTTTTTTAAATTATTTTTTTGCCATTGTCATTTATACTAATGGCACAGTGAAATTGTAGTAATATTTCACAACTATTTGTATCTACATTTATGGCACATATTTCATCTTGAGAAGAGTTCTTGACTTAGGGGAATCTTGACACTGAAGTCCGTTCAGAGTGGTGGTGAGGACTGAGAGGCCAAGTTTCACTTTCCTTCACAATTACTGCCTTTGGATGTGCCCATTTTCTCTCTATCTCTTTCTTCTAACCTCTTTCAAAAACTTTCAAGAGCTCATATATTTCAGTTGGCTTCTCCCAAATATTTACATTTTCATAGAATTAAAAATGTTATATAAGTTAGTTGTACTTTTCTGATATGCAAAAGACTTAGACTGTGAAACTCTTAATTCAACATGTAACATTTGCAAAGCAGGGCAGCCAGAGATCTGAAAATTAAATCATTGACAATATATGCTACTGTGTAGTTGATTTTCAGTTGTTTAATAATAAGTATTTGGAGGCCAAATATTTATGGGGACAAAAATTACATAATGTGTCTTTACTTCTCCCTTGGAACCCAGCACTGAGAGTTGAGCACTTAGTGGGCACCTAGCAAATGCTTATGGATTAACAAATAAGTTTGTATTAATTATGAATTTATAATAAGGTGAAAAACAGTTTGATGGATGATGATGCAAACATTTAACCTTCATGTAAGTTTAGCTGTATCTTCTTGAATCTGTTCCTTAACTTCTCCAAATGGACTCCTCTGTGGTTTTTCTGTATATATCAGAAACACTCAAATGGTTCCATGGACATTTTTATTGGCTATCTGTTCTACCTGGGGTCATCCACTAGCTTTATATGATCATACAAAGTCAGTCAATGGAGAAAATATTTCATAAAATCAGCAAGAGAAATAGTGAATAGAGCTTATTATAAATCTGATTATGAACAAAATGTTAAAATACTCTTTATAAAATTTGATAGAAGTGCTAAACAAAAAAGATAACTTTGTTCTTTAGGATTAATGTGCACATGGTTGTTTCAATGTAGCATTATCATCTTTTTAAAAAATCTACCTGATATTTTTAGCCATTTTAATGGTATTATATGGAAATAGCATTATTCTGAAGTTGTGGTATCAAAGATGATATCACGCCTGGAACTCACAGATCTGCAAAGCCCAGCATCAAGCTCACAATAAGAACTCAATAAATATTTGCCGATTGTGTCAAAAGACTAAGTTCGTATTATTTTATCAACATTAACTTACATAAAGTCAATATCAATGACTTATCAACAGTAGCCTGCTTTGTTGTTTCCCATTTGGTATGCAGTATATATAAAATTGAGAGATACTTAAACCATTGCTAGAAATGAGTCTGACATAGTGAAACTGATAGATATATAGAACATCGCTGGAAGTGAATCTATACCGTGATGCAGCTTCCCCAAATTACAATGTTAAAATTATTCCCTCATAAATTTACATTTCAGTAGAAGACTGTTAGATAGCACATCTCTGAACTATAAATCTGATCATATTACATATCATTATCATGCCTTTTGTCTCTAAATTTGGAGGCCCTATCAAGAATATCAAGACTGTCTTGGTTCTCTGACTGTAGCATCATAATAAGATCATTTTATTGACTGACTTCAACTCAGTAGTCAGGAATTAAAAATGAAATATTATTATTATTACTATTAAATGTTACAATATAAGAAGAAGGACAGTTTCTATAACCTTCATATTTAGTACAACTTTTTCTTTTTTACATTACAAGTATGACTCATGGTCATTCTTAGATAAGTACTCTTCTATAACAATCTATATAATGTAAATAATTTCTATATTCCATTTCAACATCCAAAAACATTTATGATTAGCTTCTGAGATTATTATGAAATAACATTTTGTAGCATTACTTGAGTCTATATGATATGTGTAAAACAGTGTATTTCAATTTGCATGGGAAAAATGTTAATTTATTCAGTATCAATATTAGAATACCATCTGTATAAGACAAGTGGGCTATGGAAGCTAATAACTGGCACCATGAACCAGCTGCTAAATTGTCACTTTATTTCTATTGCTCTGTTTAAGCTTTACTACTGTGTCAGTTGAAGACTTTAATCCTTGTTTTGAAGATGAAGAAACTAATATTTATTCTGTTTTCCAGGTTGAATTAACTTAATACTTTCCTCTTAAAAATTTGTTCTTGATTTTTAAAATCATATTAATTTTCTTCTAAGTTTCTTCCAAATTGTTGGTCAGTATTTTGAGTCACTGAGTAGCTAGTTAGAGTGAGTTAGTTATAATATTAATCAAGGTATAACTGTTGTCTATAAATCCTAGGAGGTGTGGAGAACATCTTCGTAAGTGTGAATAGCACTTAGCAGAGTGCTGCTTTGAGATACAAAAGGACTGAAAAAATCTAAAGCTGTACATGTTCCAGAAAGTGGGCAGAATTTAATTTTGCACCAATACAATAAATGATATAAAATTGTTCCTTTAAATCATTTAAAAAATTTAGAGATTTCTTAGTTTAAAAAAAATTTGTTGAAATGTAGTTGCCAAAATCCATGTTTCTAATGAATACTTACCTTATTGCCTCTCTGAATCAAAAACACTGAAATTAGTCTCTCCTAAATTAATAGATTCAAGATTCTAATGCAAAAAGGAAAAAAAAAAAAGAAGTGATCAGAGTCTGTCTGTTCTCTGGGTTATATGCTTGGCAGGACACTGTTTGCCTCATTACTTCACTTCTTAAAACCTTGTTTGTTTCTTCTCTCAGAATGGACTCAACGCTCTCCATCTGGCTGCCAAGGAAGGCCACGTGGGGCTGGTGCAGGAGCTGCTGGGAAGAGGATCCTCTGTGGATTCTGCCACTAAGGTAATATTCATGCTGGTAGAATATTTTTTTCCTTAGAAAAGTGAGAATTATTTAAAGCTTTTCATTTTCATGTATTTTTTTAGACAAGGTCTCTTTCTGTTGCCCAGGCAGTAGTGCAGTGGTACAATCACGGTTCACTGCAACCTCCACCTCCTGGGCTCAAGTTACCCTCCCACCTCAGCTGCCTGAGTAGCTGAGACTATAGGCGTGCACCACCATGCCCAGTTAATTAAAAAAAATTTTTTTAGTATAGGTGAGGTCTTGCTATGTTGCCTTCCTGGGCTCTAGCGATCCTCCTGCCTCAGCCTCCTAAAGTGCTGGGATTATAGGCGTGAACCGCCACACCTCACCCACTTAAAGCTTCTTTTCCCTCTTGTACATTTCAGAGGTTGGCTAGAATACCAAGATTCTTAACCTGCAGAATTAAAATTAAAACCCTCTCCATTAAACTCTGCAGAGTGAATTGTTTCATTTAAAGACTTATGGGACATGAGTCTGAAAAATCTGTAAACCTGGTTTCTAAAATTTTATCTTTCCCCCTTTGATTTACAAAGAGGATGTGATTCACATAATCCTTTGTAGACAGCAGCACCTGTTTTCCTATGGTTAATTCATTTTTTAAAAAGAAACTGATGTGGGAAATTTCTCTATGGAAATTGAACAAGTAATTTTAAATGTATACATTCAGTTTGGTATGAGACTATGCAGAATCCTTTATACTCTAATAAGAAAAGAGATTTTGGGTCATGGATTGAATTATCAGGGTAATATTAGATTTTATCATCATAATGTGTTTGGTAAGGAAATTGGACTCATTTTTAAAGAAATGCACGGAATGCTTGGTAAACCAGAAACCGTTCCTTGATGCTGCTTTTGCTAAAAAATATTTGAACTTGTCAACGATTCATTTCATAAACAACATACATTTAAAAAACTATCATCAATGGCAACAATCTTTGTCTCTTGAAGGTAAAATTTTATTTGGAAAAATACAGTGCTAATCAGAGCCCAGCCTGCTGACCAAGCCTTGAGTGTGATAATATGGCTGTGGAAGATGCAGAGAGAGAAGTCAAACACTCTGGTCTCTAGATGGGACACTAGTCTTATCTGGAGTAATGAAACAAAAAAAAAAGTACAAGAATAAATTAGAAATACGGCCAGTTAACCTGGAATTCCAATGCCTCATGCATAATTGCCAAAATGTGCATTGGTTCTGCTTGTAGTATAGTAAACGGCAATTCTAGCAGAAATTAAAAAACAAAAACAAGCTAACAATTTTTGGCAATTCCACAGAAGTAAACATGTGAATTCACTATATGCAATACATTTCTTACTTTGAACATAAAGAGAGAGTAAACATTTTTATTAACATTTCTCTCTGGCACATCAAATACATTTTAAACAAATATTTAAAGGATATCTATTTGAAGCCCAGTTCACTGGCTCACATCTGTAATCCCAGCTACACTGGAGGCTGTAGCGTGAGGAGCACTCACGTGAGCCTGGGAGTTTGAGGCTGCCACTGTACAACCCCACCAACATCTATTATTTTTTGTCTTTTTAGTAATAGCCATTCTGACTGGTATGAGATGGTGTGTAGTTGCCCACGTTAATATAGTGTATTCATTAAGCCAATTATTTTGCTTGCTTAAGTGTTTATTACTATTTTTGTTTTTCCTTTCTTCTAAACTCTATTGATATTTTTAAAATTAGGCTTACTTTTAATCATAGATTAGAATTGTAGAATTTCCCAGAAAAGAATCTCATGTTTTTAAACAGAAAAAAACTGAGGCCCCCAAATATTAAGTGAGTGCCTAATGCTCCCACAGTGAGCTGGAGACAGAAAGAGAACTAGAGTCCAAACTTTATGGCCTGGAATATACTGGTTTCTTTTTTTTTTTTCTTTTTGTTATTTATTTTAATCACATCACAGGTATTTTTAATCTCTTGGCTTTTATTTTCACAAAAAGTTTAAATTATTTTTCATTGGTGTTGGTGTTGTGGCTGGTAAATTTCGATGTAGCAAATGGTAGAAAATCATTGGTACTGTTATGATTTATGTAAAATTTATTTTTCTTATTCCCAACATATTCCCAAGTGCCCTAGTAGCTGCAAACACAACTATAAGCCGTTCGTTTCTCTACCACTAAAAATTCCTGGGTTTCTTTGCAAGGTGAAAGAAACTCAATGTTTCAGTAAACTTTCTTTTTAGTTAATATTTCTTTGCAGTAGGATTCTTTAGTTGTTGATTAAATTGCATGAATCTCATGAGATACTGACACATACACACACACCCCCTGCAAATTTTTGATTCATTGAAAACAGTCATTCTGTGTTAACACTAACCAATATTGTGAAAATAGAAAAGGAAGACACTATACGAGGTGGCCAAAAATTTTTTTTTTTTTTGATGGTAAAAAATAATCTCTTCATAAGTGGCCTACTATCTTGATAAAATAACAGATTTTAATTGGTTAAAGTGATTAGCGAAGTTGAAAATGCCTGCACATTTTGATTTCTGCAAAGTTCAGAAACCTTGAACATTTTCTATTTTGTTTCTCCAAAACAGAAAGGAAATACCGCTCTTCACATTGCATCTTTGGCTGGACAAGCAGAAGTTGTCAAAGTTCTTGTTAAGGAAGGAGCCAATATTAATGCACAGTCTCAGGTATTCCATCAGATTTTCCCTGATGTACATACATTTAAATTAGAACAGTTTTGTGAAATTGATTTAATGGGTTTAACTAGCTGTTTTACTGATAAATTTATTATAAGTGCTTTGTTATTTATTTTAGCCAAATTATTTTATTAACTTTTATGATGAAGTTTATTTTTTCAACATATAATCTCCCTTTTAATGTAACTTAGCACTTGACAAATGTAAGTCTATCATCGTCTCTAAGTATTTTTCAAAAGAATATAAAGTGCTTTTTTTCAGAATGACAGTGACATCTGAGAAATATGAATTATTCATGCAAGTTTGGTGTTACTCTATAAAAGTATTCTCTTTCCGTAAATTGAAAATATTCTTGAAAGATTTACATTCCAGTGGAAAATCTGCTATAAGGTGGGAATAACACTACTTTGGTCACTTTACACCCCCAATGTGAGCTTTACTAATAATAAATAGGAAATGTATGGTTTTAAAATGAAATTAAGAAAAAAATTACACAATAATTACTTAATCAAAATTATACTATAAGCTTGATCCACCTCCCCTTTTTTTTTTCTGGTGGAAAAGGGGAGAAAACGTTGTTTTGCCCAAAACTTTACTCTTGATATCTATTATACCATGTATGCATGTGGGGATTGAGACATATATCTTTATGATAAAATTCATTCTCTCTATTTTTAGGGTTTTCTCTTTTGCCTTTCTGATAACACAGACTATATCATGGAGGGTATTAGCAAAATACGCCAGCTCTGTTCCATCTGTCCTTTGGGATAACCTCACCAGCTTGCCTTTGAAGGCCATTGTGTAGGAATATGTATTAACTATATAGTTCATTCATTCATTACCTAGGCATGGCTCTAGTTCTATAGATGGCACAAGTTCTGGACCTAGAAAATACAAAAGGCAATGGTTAAATCAGCCCTATTTTCTTTGATTTTAATTTTGGGAAAAATCTGTTGAAATTATGATAGATAAGACATTATTTTTATCTTTGTAATATCATGCTATTTTAATTAGTCACATTTTTTTCCTTACAACTAAAACATTCAGTTGGATGCATATCCATGTTTTAACATGTATTGAGAATATGCCTTAGTCTAAAACCCTTACTAGATGAAATTTTTATAATTTGGTACCTTCTGTAAAGAACATCTGTATTTTTATAAAGTATAATGGCATTTTAGACTTGGAGAGAAAGGTCCCTGCAGAAGCTACTGCTCCACCATAAGTGATTCAAAACTTTTCTTTTTAAAACTTTATTTTGTTTAGATTCAAGGGGTACATGTGCACGTTTGTTACATGGATATATTATGTAATCAAATAGTGAACATTGTACCCAATAGGTAATTTTTCAACCTTCAGTCCCCTATCCCCCTCCCCACTTTTAGAGTCCCTCGTGTCTATTATTTCCATCTTTATGTCCATGTGAACTCATTAGCTCTCACTTCTAAATGAGAACATGCTGTATTTGACTTCCTGTTTCTGAGTTATTTCACGTAGGATAATGGTCCCCAGCTCCATCCATGTTGCTGCAAAGGATGTAATTTCATTCTCTTTTATAGCTGGCTAGTATTCCATGGTGTATATGTACCACATTTTCTTTATCCAGTCAACCATTGATGAATGCTTAGGTTGATTGCATGACTTTGCTACTGTGAATAATGCTGCAATAAACATAAGAGTGCAGGTGTCACATGTTCTCACTCATAGGTGGGAGTTGAACAATGAGAACACATGTACACAAGGCGGGGAACTTCACATGCCAGGACCTGTCGGAGGGTGGGGGCTGGGGGAGGGATAGCATTAGGAGAAATACCTAATGTAGATGACAGGTTGATGGGTGCAGCAAACCACCATGGCACACGTATACCTATGTAACGAACCTGCACGTTGTGCACATGCACCCTAGAACTTAAAGTATAATAATAATAATAAAAAAAGAGTGAAGGTGTCTTTTTGATGTAACGATTTCTTTCCCTTTGGGTAAATACCAAAAGTGGTATTGCTTTGGGTAGTTACCCAAAGCAGTAGTGGGATTGCTGGGTCTAATGGTAGTTCTGTTTTTAGTTTTTTGAGCTATCCCAATGCTGGCAAACCTTTCTTTATATCAAGAGAACATCTTTTTGCTTTAGACAGAGGTTCTCAAACTTTACTCTGCATCATAACCACCTGCATGGTGTGTTGAAACCCATGTTTCTAGGTTCCTAGAGTTTCTGATTCGGTTCTGGAGTGGAACCTGATAATTTTCATTTTTTACAAGTTCTCAGATGATTCTAATGTTACTAGTCCAGGGACCACATTTGTGAACTGCTTTAGCAAACATGAGGGAAAACTGGGTGTAAGATATTGCAGTAAGATTCACAAGGTATAGATTCAACTACATGACTGAATCAATAATGTACTCATAAAGCATGAAAATGAAGGCCTGGTTAAATTCAGTTGTTCACTGGAGGTTCTCCTAACTTTGACAGGAAATTCGCCTACACATCGGTGCTGTTAAAATCTGTGAAGAGCGTATTTTACTTTTCTCAAAATGACGAACATAGTGTTGTTATAAAAGTTGATTAGTAGTAAATGCTGCAAGGTAAATGCTTGTTAAAGCTATGATACCAGTTATTACACAGTAGTTGTTGGAAACATATATACTTCGGAGGCTTTTCAAGGAGAACAAGCTAAAACCATTTAATCATAACTTGCTTTCAGAGTCATTGAGGCTTTTCTTTATAAGACGTAATCATGCCATATTATAACAGATCTTACAAGAAGGGTGGTATCATTATTAAGATGTTAAAATAATCCCATTTGTTATTTATACTATTAGGTCAATTTAAAATTTATATTACAGAGGATTCTGACAAATAGCTTCAAACTGACGTTCATATTGTGCGACGTTTTAGAGTAAGAAAAATTAAAAATTAAATTTTAGAATATTTTTCTAATTGTTTTTCTAAGTCTTTTGATGCGGCCTATGACATTATTTCCTGTATTGAATTTATGTACCCATCATTAATAGTTGAAAAAATTATTATTACTTAGAATATTTTATAATATAATGATTAAAATTAAAATACATGAAATTATATAAGAGGGTTGATTATTTTGCCCCTGTGTATGAGCCAATCCCAAAACTGATGGTTTCAGGGCCATTGAGGGCTGATTTGAGTTCCTCCACAGATGTTATTTCTCTCAGTACTGTCTTACGTAAGATACAGGGTTCTTTATGTGACAATATTGGGTGTCAAGTGGATGGATGGGAGACATGCTCATGGCAGTTAAACAGTCTTTTCCTTTTGAGAACCAGAAAAAGGACATAGGGATCCTGAATGTACAACATAATGTCTGAATTTTGTATTCAAGTGATACCTTCTTCCACATCTTTCTAAGAACATAATTTAAACCATTGAAATGCAGAATAGTCTGAAATTATAGGAACATTGGCAGCTGCATAGTACTATGCCTTTGGCAAACTTCCGAGTTATTTGGAAACAGACTGCTAAAGTTATTTTTGAATTAGGAAGATAAAAAATTTTCTGAAAAAACCTTCAAGGAATATATTCAGTAAAATTTTTTGAATTATAGGTTATGGGGAAATACACACTTAGAGATTTTTCTGCATTTTGCATATAAACTATGAGATTCATGTGAGCCTTACCTCCACATGACACGGTGCCAATTTTGGTAGAGGGTGTCCTTAGTTCATTAAGAGTTCCAGAACACCAGCTGGATCAACTTCAGTACTTTAAATGATATAGTACAATTGATTTAGTAACAATGAACATTTTTCTAAATGTTTTTCTAAGCCTTTGATAAGGCCTATGACATTATTTCCTGTATTGAATTTATGTGCCCATCATTAATAGTTGAAAAAATTATTAGTTGAAATAATTAGTTGAAATAGTTGAAAAAATTATTTTGGTTTCTTTGTTCAGCAGTGGTATCAGTGTGGCCCCTGCTGAGCCAGTTCTTGGTGTGATTTTAAGTATTGCCCCTGACCATGTAGCTCTCTGGCTTGGTTCTGTGGTGTCCTGGATTCAGTGACATGGAGGTCTCATTCATGGTGCCAGAATTATGGAGTTAGAAGTCAGATTATAGAGTTGAGGAATGTTATTTGCTTTGAAGATGATTGTTTGCTTTCTGAAAACACAGTCACTTGCAGAAAATATTTAGTAGGCATCTCACCCTCTAAATAATCCCACATAAGTGATGTAGGGGTGATTTCCATTTAAGCTGTATGGGACATTTATTTGATCACTTTTATAACCTGCAAGTCTGTTAGACTCAGAGACATGACTTTAAAAAAATTGTTCAAATTCTATATTGTTATCAAAGAAACTCTACTTAGAAAATTTTTTAAAAGTATTCTTAGAATCATGAGTTTCTTTAAATACTTGTAGCACTCTTTGTTGACATTTTGCCTATTGATATTTACCTATCTCTGATTGCAAAAAAAAAAAAAAAAAAAAAAATACATCTATAATTTCTCCAAGCTGGTAAACTTCTTGGGAGCAGATAATTTTTTCTCACACTTCTTTATAGTTTCAGGATTTTGCATAATACCTTGCACATATATGATTGGAGGATGAAAATATGCATGTATACTCTTTATGTATAAATCTTAGCTTTGTTGTATATTCCAATCACACTGAACAGTAGACAATAATATTAATAATAATACAGGTAATAACATTGACTGCCAGGCATTGTCTCTAGTGTGTTGTGTACATTATCTCTTTTGATCTTCCTTTACTTTATCATTATTGATGACAAATGGAGACTCAGGTGGCTCATTTACTTGCCCATAATCTTCATCCCCAGGCAACACTGGTTCTCATAGTTCCCATAACAGTTCTACCTTCTCTACAGATCTCAAAGAATAATTTTTAAAATTCATTTTTCTTCTAGCCCAGAGCCTACTCAGGTCCAAATAAGCTGATTTTCTTAAAGTAGAATCTATGTAAAAGGTTTAAGATGGAATTTCTCACTTAATATTTTTT